GTACGAGAGCATGGAGCTGGGAAATGGAGAATGAATTCAGTTGTCCGGATTTTTCTATCGGTAAAGGGGGCAATTGATAGACCCAGTTCTTAACCGATAAAATTTTAAAATATTAAACACCTGTCCTTTCATTAATACACTCGATAAATTGTTAATCATTGCGGTACCTGAAATACCCGAAAATTTGTATTATACCATCAGAATCCTTCATCTCCTATGATTGTTTTTTCCTTTAACTATTGTTATTGTTTTTTCCTTTACCTTCATTCACTTTCTTATTTTTTCCTAAACTTATTCTTTGTCCTTTTACTTTCCCTATCTTTCCATAACCATTATGTTTGTCCGTTCTTCCTTTCCTTCCCACGTCTCCATTCCTTTCTTCTTTCTTTTCTTGGCATGTTTCTCTCTCCCCCTATCTCATACAAAGAAAGAAAGACATCTGATACAAACTTTTGTCTTTTTCTTTCCTTGTCTTTTCCACATCTCTTTTCCTTCATGTCATGTGAAGTGGCAGAATAACCACTCATCTCCTTTCCTTCTCTCTCATTCTCTTTCTTTCATATTCGTCTTCCTTTCTCCTAATTTCCTTCACTAACCTATACATGCATGAAAAACCATTCCATTCAACTATCACGTCTACAGACTACAATAATAAAGGAAAGATAAGAACATCATTCCTTCCTCCACTCCTTTCTCATACATTCATGTTCATGCAATACCATGCACGTAGAAAACTAAAACCAATTCATTTACCCATTTTCCATATATTCATACTCCTTTATATACTTACACTTTCTCCTACTTACACATACACACTTGGACTTTCCCATATACAATAATTGGTGATGAATATTGGTGTATGAAGGAGAATATTAACAAGTATAGGGGAATAATGGAGAATGTTGGTGAATGTTAACGTAAGACGAGGAATTCAACTACGATTTTTTCCTATAAATAGGGAGCACCCCTCCCCCTTTCTAAAAACAACAAGTCACACACACACCACATAAGTCGCTTACGACTACTTCACACAACACAACTCACACACAATATACACTCTCTCTACTTTCTCTCTCTAAAAACATTTTCTCTCTCCTCCCGATCTCCCAAAAACGTTTTAAATCTCTAAACACTCAACACACTCTTAATTTGGCGGACTAAGCCATGGAATCATGGATAGTCTCCACCGGGCGGCATTAAATAGCCGACGACGCTCAATTACGACCGTGGGACCGAACCAGGTCTAACGTCATTGATTTATTTTATTCCATTCAGATTACTAATTTGAGCGTTGGAGGAGGTTCCAACCAGGATCCCCCCCCCCCCCCCGGTGGGACCTTTCTTTCCAGATATTCGCACGGAGCTGGAGGTTGTTAAAGGCTTTGGGAAATCAGCCTTCTCCGGACCTTAAACATATTGAAGCAGGCTGCTCTAAGCTTGGCATCAACAATTGTACATTGGTCCATGTGGAGGGACAATTAGGATACCCAACCTTTGAAAGGCTTCTAGCCGACTCTGAGCGGAATCCCAGGCACGTCAACGTCAAACAAGGCACACAATCTGATCGCGTTGTGATCGAGCTTTAAATTTATAAGTTGATGCACACTCACTAGTCACTACTAACTAGGCCAAGTATAACAAAGCTAGGGATGTAGTAAAGTGGCTTGTTTTTATTCCAAATGTAATGGTATCTTAGGCTACTTAGGCTCGGTCGTTGTCTAGTCAGCCAATTACTTAGCAGGTGGCCAGTTGGCGATTCCTAAACTAAATATTGATAGATAAGAAGAGGTACGTGAGGTAAGTCCCTCGCCCTAGTTTATGTCTAACATGCAAATGACTAACTATGTCGGGTTTATCGGATATGGTGTGTGAGCTCCCTAATCTTGTGGGCCTTTGTCGTCATCCCACTCTTCCGAGTATGTCCCCCCAAGACCCATTGACACCTCAGTCAAGGCTCACGTATCTGGGGCATTATGAATTTAGCTAACTTCAATAGGTTTTACCTATCGTGCAAACTAAAGAGATGGATCGATACACGCTTGGGTTCCTCTAAATCATCTTCTAGGAAGGCATTCTTGTAGCAGGGGTACGATCGCCTCGTCCACTACAAGACCCAAGATCATTCATCTACCCATAATTTTCCAATTAGCGCTACCCGGTCTAACTCTAAAAGTCCTACCCAACATTGTCTCATCATAGGCTAGTAGAGAAGAGTAGGACGACTTACCCAAGCATAATTAAGCATAAATGAAGCATATAATCACTAGAACAAACACATCCATTCATAAACCCTAACATAATACATTCATCTACATTATAAACCTAATCTAGCGTGTGGGGTTTTTAGCCCTAGTACCTTGGGAGATTGCCCCATGAAAGAGGGGGGGGGGATAAAATACATACAAAGAGGGGAAGAAATCATGAAGAAATGGTCTTCAATTCATGGAAGTCCTCCTCCAAAGCTCTCATCCACTTCTTCTCCTCCTATTCTTCTCCAAGCTTCTACTTCTCTCTCTATAATCAAGAATCTGCCAAAAGCCATCTATTAAAGGGGAGGAGGCCTATATTTATAGAATTTCCAGATTTCGGGGAAGTTCAAAGGCAAGGGACAGAATTTCGCGATCGTGAACTTATGAGGCGAGGCCGTGATCTTAGGCCAGAACCTTTACACGTTGAAGACTTGGAGGATCGCGGCCTGACATCTCGGCCACGATCCTTGATGTCACGGCCTCAATGTATCTCGCGGGCTCGGAAGAAAGTGGCTGTGAGTCGACTACCGAAACCTTCTGTTTCTCCCTCATTGGCTGCCCCTCCAAGTTCGCGCCCAATGCTCCAAAGATCTCGGTCGCGATCTTGGGGTTGAAGGCCGTGATCTCAGCTCTCTCTTTGTGTGCTCCAATCTTGATCGTTATCTTCCTTGTCCGAATCGTGATCTTCAGCTTTTGCCTCATTCTTGCTACACTTGTGCCCTTTTTGTACCAAATTCGTACATATCATCTAATACACCCTAATACAACTATATATTCTTCAAGGAACAATATATGGGTATATTTCACAATGTATCAATCAATATGCACATTAAATGACTCAAAAGGAACCTAGATAAGAGGAATAAATAACACCAATTTATGTGTTATCACAATCAAAGTCAATTATATGCATGAACTTCCCTTATTTGGCCGATTCAGAACCTCATTAGGGTATCATTTACACAATTTCCCCAGAGAAGACTGTATACAAGTTGCCTTTATGTAGCCTGGAAAGGGTCTTCTTAAGGTCAACTAATTGTCCTTTCCTCATCACTCTATTGGTGCCTCACACGTAAACCTCTTAAGCTACAACCTACTTTTCCTTACTTAGCTAACGTGGTTGTGGGAAAGCACAAACCGAGCATCATTCAGCCTACATATACTTGAGAATCCAACTTCACACACAAACAAACCTACTTCTTCAGTCACTATTCAAACATTTACATCAGGATACATCAAGAAGTTAACAAACGCACTTTAATTCAAGACACCTCATGCACTACGCTCTCGCCAACATAGGTCGAGATAGAGAGGCTAGATTTGACAATTCAAAGCATGAAATCATATTGTAAGAATCGGGGGCTTGCTTGCAACCCTCAAAATTAAAATTAAAAATATTGAATTCGTTCTTAGGTTACAAGCAAGATTAGTATCGTTCTTATCTAATCGCATTCTCATACACATTCATAGACTGATTCATTCGTCATCACACGAGAAGCAAGTCGAAATGGACTCATTCATGAAAATGAAATCATGCCCCCGCCCCCCCCCCCCCCCCCCCCCCCCCATAGACATAAACTTAAGAAACACATGTTCCTCAATGTGTAGAAGTTCAAGATAAGGATCTCTAATTTTAACCTCAAAAGGGTTGGTAGGCTCAAGTGCAGGTCTTCTTTGTAAATCTAAAGCCATCCAAAACATTTAACAAGAGAGAGTGGCGGTTTTATTTGAACATAAACATATATAACTAACTACCACACACATACATACTAGGAGTTATTACACATACACGCATTGTAAGTATGCATTTCAAAAGGCAACATTGTTCATATTTAAATAAAAAGAAAATAAAGGATAGAGTGGCCCTTTTCATTGCCAATAAATTGCCCCCAGGAACCATTCGCAGATGAAGTATCTGGATACATGGTCTTGTAAAGATAATGAAGCAAGGTGTCTACATATTGGGGTTGGATATCCTTCATTGGGATTACTAGCTTCTTCCTAGGTGAAAAGGTCGTGATCCCATCATGCTCCAAGATGAGCATCACGGGGATAAAGATTTCTCTTGCTTCCACACCTTCCAATCATGGATATCATTATCACATGATGGATGAGCTTCCAATCTAGCTTCAACTCGCTTGCTTTGGAAAGTTTCTCAAGCTACCATTACCTTAAGGTGTCGTTCATTAAGATCTTCGACGTCGGGGATGAGATGCTCGAGTAGCAGCAAATCAAACTCAAGGGAGTTCACAAACCCCCACTTGACGTTTGATGAATTGCAAAAAATCATCCCCAAGATTGATCCTACACAACACCACACTTGATTTCTACTGTGTAAAACGAGGATGCATAGGTGGAAAGCCAGGTTGGTTAAATGTCTTGATAGGTTGGATCAAAGATCATCAGATCGATTTGGGTGTTTCTAAAATGTGGCCAAAGGCAAGAAACATCCCAAACGACTAAGGTAACGTCATAGATTGTTCAAAAATCACATCGAAGCATAAAACTTGGCTGAGCAAAGGAGATACACACCCTATACCATGCAATCAAAATCATATCGACTGTCTTGGACTATTGAAAATTATAACATGATTAAGTGAACGAATCACTAAACCGTTCAATGAAACAGAGAGATTCAAATAACTAGAAACCCAAACAATGCACTGTTGCCTGTTGGATGATAGTCGATGCAATAAATAGTTACCCTAATAAACGGCAAGATAGAGAGATGAATAGAGGAACGAGAGCATACAGACAATCATGTCGGAAAAAGAAGAATACAGACAACGGAGAAACACTTTCACTAACCAATATAAGATTCAATTACATGGGAAAGCTGCTAATCCTATAGAAGGTATAGATGAAGATGATTGGTAAAATAAGAAGTAGAAAAAAAGAAATACTATCATATATGTAAGAATGCACTCCTCAAAAATAAAAATAATGATTTACTTGCTTCTGCTGCTGCCTTCAATATAGAGCTAAACCAAAAAGAATATTACTATCGACTTTTTCACTTGTTGAAAAATAGCCCCCTCTTCTTTCCTTTCCTCTTCTCCCCAGCCTGCAAGCGTTCAATCAAACAACGTACATTTTTAAGACCCAACACTCTGGAAGCTAATAATTTCATCTAACATAACAGGAAATGAAGAAAAGGAGAATATAAAGAGAGCGCCTTTTTTACCTTAATGATGAACAGTCTCATGGTAAGCACAATGACATCTCTTAAACTGTGCACAGACCAAAAACAGGAACCCAGAAATATCAACTACTTGACTTGGAAACTGGAAATTATGTCCCGTCAGCTATAATCAGAGACAAAAGATTACCAGCTAACATCCGCTGCATCATTATCGGTTCGTAACAGATGCTGACCTCCAGTAGCACAAACTATGATGAACTCTGTGGGGTTCCCATAAGGGATTGTGACCTGCGGCAAAACAGGTTGAGGAAATATTAGGAGAACAAGCCAACCTTATCATAATCTAGCTCAAACAAGTTCATAATAAAAAAGAGCGGCAATAATCATGAAGAATGGAAAGAATATCAGAGAAAGTGAGGAACTCCTACACTTGTCTTGGACGAAAACTTCTCACTGACCACAGCTCCATTAGGCCCACTACTTTTGATGCTGTAACTGTCCCTCTTGATGACTATAGTGGCTGGCTCCCATATATCAAGATACCCAGTCTGAAATATCATTGACAAATGCCAATATCAGAAGTATGAGGAAGGTAATTCCGACAGTTCCAGCACCTGCTAATAGAACACATACCGACAAAGAAACTTTGTATGCAACATGACCATTAGAAAGAGTCCTCTCTATGTGGTTCTGCATTTCAACATCTGCAAGGAAAATAAAGCTTGAGACAAGTGGCTGGCAGAGATAAACTTAACCAAGAGACTAAATTGGAGCATGTGTAGCTTAGACAAGTCACTGAAGCTCTAACTAATCCCAAGCTCCCAAGCACTCTAGGGCCCTGGTCTCTCAGGAACACGTGACCGGTCATGCGCAACTTAAAAGATATATTTTTGGTAGGTAGTTTTAACTGAACATGAGTTTCAACAAAATTAGCAATACAATATATAGCCACCAGAGAATATAACATAACAGGGAACAAGATTCCAACTAAGAATAAAAGTTTCCATTTCTTCTAATAACTGTTGTCAAATAGAGGGGGGGAAAAAGATAATGTCAGCTCCACTCCGTTAGTGATCGCCCCCAAGATCTGAACTTGAGGCATCCTATTATCACCAAGTACCACTAGGCCAACCCTTTGGGTTTGCGGTTGGAAAATTTCCATGTGTAATTTCTACTAATTCAGTCAATAAACAATGCTGATTTACTCTAAACAGAACAAGCAAAACATGTGGAATCAATGTTCAAGTAGAATATTATTCTTACCACAAGTAATCTTTCTGTTCTCATTTGCAAAGACCTTGACCAGTTCTCCCTGAGGATGAAAGAACAAGAAAAGGAATTTTACAAGCAAGTTAAAAAAGTAAGTCCGAAATTAAGGCAGATCAATCAATTGAGGATTCAATCATCAAAGACGAGATTGCTGAATGACTGTGAAAAGGAAAGGCTAATGATCTATAGAAATGTCTGGAGGAGGAGATTCCGAATAAACATAGAAGCCATAAGGTAGGTGTTGTGGTCTTGTAATAGTTGAAAAGGTGACCAAGAAAATGGTGAAGCATAAAACTATGTGGAGTTAGATGACGCTGGCTGTAAGATACAGCTCCCCTTTTCAGTGTTAGAACAAAAGAAAGAAAACTGAGAATCAACGAAATGCCCACAAGGAGCTTCAGAATGGCAAGAAGCAACAGGTTGGTCTTGAGGTCTTGGAGAGTGTCTAGTGTCAAACAACATCCCTACTGTTTTTGTTCTGGAAAAATACAGTGTTAATAATTCATCTACAGTTGAAGATGCAACACACTACTCTCTCATGGATTCTGGAAAAAGCGAAAAGAAAAGTGGCGAAAGCATAGTGTTACATGATTAGCCATTGAGAACTGACGGAATCCTAAACCTAACATCGTTAAGATAAGGAAGATGCAATTTGTGATAGTTAACTTGGTATGAAAGAAAAAAAGAGTAAAACGATAGTCTGGCGCATATACTCGAATACAACCAAATGTTGAAGCTAGAATTCCACCTTGCGCTTCCGGTCATCCAGGGGCTGAACTTCTATAGCTAGGTAGGTATCAACATCATCAGCAGTCACAAGATAGTTCGGTTGTTTTGCTCCTGTCACGAGGCACCCAAAATTACTTGCGCAGGGAAATCAACGCAATGCGTAACAGAAATATAAAGCACATCGTTAAATGGAATACCATCAATATAATCAACAGATCCATCTTCAAAATGGCGCACCCACTGCCAGTACCACAAACAATTAGGTCAGTATCAACAGGTAAGAAAGAAACCCTTTTCAGGTGATCCACATGAGTCAATAATAATCTGAATGCCAAATGAACCAAGGACGGACCATAAAATCAGGAAACACACCTCAAAATTACAACTAGTTGTTCCATTAGTAGAGTATCCACATGCCTGGAGCTCTCGGCCAGGAAATGCATCACCTGAAATTTGAAGGCCTTCAATGGCTGGTAAAGGATCGTCATCGGCAGCTGTAACACACGAATTTATACAACTGTGAATTGTCAATAGGAGTACTTAAAGTGAGAATGGTTTAAAAGGACTCAATAACCAAGCCACCAAAAGGAAAATCGCACCCTCAGAAAAAGAAGAGGAAGGTTCTTCAAGAACCGGAGGGAGATAAGGGGAATACGAAGAGGTAGGATCATCAATCGTAGTTGTGTAGGGAGTTCCTGACCCCCAATTCGATTGAGCTTCTCTGTTGCTCGGTTGAACTTCAGCTTCAAGGTCATCCATCTCGCTATTGCTCACAGAATCACGAAATGTTACTTGTTTACTGTTGTCTCCACTGTACTGCATCGCATGAGAGTCTCCCCTGGTAACTTCAAATTGTTCTGGCGCATCTCGGGCAGCAGGATTCCTGATTAGAGGAAATGTGTCAGATAAACACGTGCTTTCGGCCAAAAATATGGTTTACCAGTAAAAGACTAGATCGACGCTGCTAACCCTAATTAGAGACACAAGCTCCTCAACGAAAACAGAGAGAAAGAAACCAATAGAAAGGAAATGGCAGACAAAGAAAGGAACAGAGTCACAGTCTCACGCACATCTGAATGATCACGAAACAATAAACCAAAAAGTGAAGACAGGGACTTAGAGAGAGGGTGCCACAGTTAAGCCGCTTTTTAAAGAAATGTCTGCCAAATTTTGCAGAAACCATATAGCCATAGAAGATGTCCTTCCAAATATGAAGCTCAGTGGGCTGGAAGACTGCTGAAAGTCTAAGACCGAAGAAAACAATGATGCAACATGAGAGAAAGACTAGTTCCAAAACAATAAGCAAGGAGACTCCCATTTGACATTCTACACCTCTACCTCCACGAGTTCCATTTCCACATACAGAGGCACAGTTCGCAAAATAGCAGCATACACGGTTAGGCACAAGGTTGCCTTTTTATCAATAAATCCGAATACAAGCATAAACAGCAGAGCTGAGTTGGGCAAGTAGGTGACGCTTGCATTATATAACTACTAGCATGTAATAATCATTCAACAGTACAAGTAGATATGCACTTACCAAGCCATATACAACAAAATAGCAACCACAAGGTTGACAAGAGAAACATGCATTCCACTCAAATAGCATGTAGCAACCATATGCAGTGAGCCTAGGCTTGACATCCTATTGTACTTGTGAAGAACATATATATTTCCCAAAGGGGGGGAAATTTTACAGTGACTTATGTCCAAAGTCGTAGAGGATTAGGGTCTAATCACTTAGAATAGTCAATCAAGCTAGCTCATAACAAGAAACAAAAAAATTTCATGGAATCCTCTTTAGCTAGTCCCTATGTCTCATTGTGGCAGATACAATGAGAAGAGAAAAAGACAACCAATTTCATGACTCAAAGGGACTATAGAGACCTAGTAACTATGTTCTTGCCTAAACTAGCATGCACACGTATGAAGAGAATCAGACATATATGACCAACCAGGATAAACCAATGAAAAATGAACCCACCAAAAGCGTAGATGGTTGTAATTTGTACATTCAGATCACAATAGCAGTCTCCATTTGACCAAGCTCACCTGCTTCCAAGAGGGGAATATCTCCCTGCATCATCCATTTCCAGATTTTTGGGAACACCAGATCCCAATCCACTCTGGTTATGACTGGGGGTATCCCAATCCGCTGCTGCCTGAACATCAGAGGAAGTCATCGCCGCATTTGCACGAGCATATGTAGGCTGAGGAACCAACTCGAGCCCATTCTTGTCCTGTGTACCGAACATCAGGAACATCGAGAGTAAGTTGGCATTACAAGTAGAAAAAGACAAAAGGAGTGCATGAGCCAGCTGTAGTCACCAATCCTGGACCCATTGAATGAGCTGGAGACTGCAAAGTAACATTGGAAAGGCTCGCATCTGAACGCCATGGTGCCAATTGATACTGAGATTCCTTGAGCTTTGACTGGGATTCAGAAAAGGAATTATCAGCACCCATTCATGGTGGAAGAAAGAGATTAAGGATTCCCTCTGAGTAAACAATTAGATGAGGACCACTGGATTATAAACACGTAGTACTACCACACCGTACCTCAGTGAGTATGAGCTTCTCATGCAAATGTCTGAACAAAACCTGGAAGAGAAAGCAACTACAGTAACCAAATACGTTTCATGTTTGAAAAAGCCTCAGTAGCTGTATTGAGGGCACATAGCTTCAGAATCACAGGCCAAATATAGGAGTAATCCAGTAATATCTAATGAGTGAAACAAATACCACCATCAGTTCATTGTGGTTCTTCAGTAACAAAGGAAATTTGAAACTATAATATCACTTTAAGTGCCTAACAGTGTTTTGTATTGAAAATTACCAAAAACGGACTCATAGACTCATTACTCTGTCCCATTGGTGAAAAGACATTAAGGGGAATATGCATTGATAAAGAACTGGAAAATTTTTGTTCAGTCTCATAAACTGTATTTTCTCTAGCATTTCTTTCATATCAAAATTCATTGACTGTGGTCTCCCTACTTGTTCAAATCTTCACCCATAAAGGCCTGAAGGATAATTTCCCTTTCATACCTCCAGCTGAAACGAAGAAAGACCAATGCACATCTAAATGTGTACACAAATTAGCTAATGTTGTGTCTGAATTCTAAGCAAACTTCCCTTTTGAACCATCATGTGTTTTCATGCATGGTTACACCAAAGCCAACATATCAAAATTCAAAGCTTTGATTCTAGTCTCTTTTCTGAACTTAAGGTAGTTCTTACATAAGCAAAGACAATGCAAAATTCTCTTTGGACTAAGTGACAAAAGGCCTATGTCCATCTCGGTAAAATATCATAAGGAAGTACCAACATCCTAAAGCATTAAACAAAACTAGTTCAAAGTTCAAACTAAGTTTACCTTTCCATGAAATCTTTTAACCACCAAAACCATTAAACACTTACTACAAGAGAAAACTATCACTGCATACCCTGACATTACTAACAATTGACTGAGCATCGGGGACTGGTGGCTGCAAGGAATACTCGGCAAGTAGTGGCATCAAAGAAGTCACAAATGTCGATCTTTCTTGTTGAGCAGCCTGAAGGTAAACGAAAGAAAAAGAAAAGGAAGGAAGTCAAATCACCATCTCCAATGCAGTGTATACATTCACTAACATTTAGTCCACATGACCCTTGGTGCATCAAGAGACATAGATAAGTTACGGTTAGGTAGAGGAGAGAGCATATATGGAAGTATAATCACATATAACATATCAAGCTTTTATTACCATCAGCGCTACTTTCAGAATGAAGTACAAACATATTATCAACAGCGACAGACTCCGGCGTATATAAACTTTTTCCAGCCTTACGCACGAGGCGCAGACTCTAAGAGTGAGTCCTCTCAACTGTTGGAGAGAAGCAATTTCAATTTCACAAAGACTCATTGTACATGTCTATTCATATGCTTCAACCCAAAAGGCAAACAACCTAGAATCCTGGTTATGCTGGGCTCCTATTGCCTCTATACCTTTTTCTCGTTCAAGCTCTTCACAAGCTACTACGATCAACATTCTAAAACAACTTCTTGGTGAGCTCTCTCTGTCCTTTCATACCAACTAACCCATGTTCAGTTTGATGCACGGGGTAATTCTTCGCTCATCAGTAAAAAAGTTGACATTCCTAAAGTTGGGCGAACTCATAAGAAAAGAAGGAAAATCATTTGTGGAGTAGATCAACTACCAGCAAATCAAAGTCTACACCGTTCCATGTAAAAAAAAAAGTCTACAACGTTCCTGGTTTATATGATATCTCAGTTCGAAGGAGTATGAGATGAGACATGTGTTCTCATCGTACAGGCTGTTTAACATTAACCAAAATCTGTTATCGGACCAGACAGAATACACTCTTTCAATCAAGTGATGAACTGAAACATGACCTAATCCCTTATCAGACATTTTCAAACAGCAGACCAGAAGCAAAATCGCCAATCAAGTGACCTCCATATAAAAAAGCCAAATGATGATAACATGCCTGCAATTCATACGTTAACCGTATATTTTCCTCAATAATGTCTTGTCTATATGAAAGAGCTTTAGAAGCAGCATCAACAAGGTCTTGTTGTTGTTGATCAAAGGCCTGAGATAGAAAAATCATGTAACGTCAGACACCTCAAAATCAGACAGGGAAGAATACAGCAAGCTACCAGGGGAGGGAGGTCCTGATGAAAGATCAATAAACATAAACGAGTCCCAGCTCACCAGACGCATGTAAGCAATACGCTTCTCCAAAACGTACTTTTCATTCCGAATTTGTGTTTCCTATCAATAATCAGTAATGAGTATACATGCCATTTAAACCAACTTAAAACATATGTGGGAAAGAAAGCCTGATATTCTGACTTACCTTAACAGAATAATCAGCTAGTCGTTTCCTTAATTGCACAATTTCTTCTTCATGCTCACGAACCTTAAGAACAAAATCCTGCAGAAATATGTTTCAATGCCTAAATTTTCATAACAAGAAAGCAAGCATTGGTCAAATGTGAGACTACCTGTTTCAAGAGGCTGTTAGCATTATTCACTTCAGCCATTTGCATGGAGCCATGGCCAGGCACATTAAGTTGTGGTTCATAGTCTCCTTCAATTTGATACCTAAACAAATTGCAATCAGTATCGCTCCAAAATTCCACTTTATGTTCATAAATAGATTGTGGTCAAATACCTCCCAGGAGAAACAGATGCCGGGGACGGTGATGAAAACTGAGAGAGATTGGAACTTTCCGGTTCATGCCTATCAGGAGAACCCTTCAATCTCCCATTGACGTGGCTTCTTTCAGAGTGGTTTTCAACATGACCTTGACTTGTATCTTCACTATTGGCCTTTAACCCTTGGTGAGCAGCCATCACAACAGAAGGATCCACTGCAGAGTTTCTGTTCATGCTCCTAACTTTATCCTCGGGATTACCAATAAAGTCTGACTGATAAACTTCATAAGGACTATGGACCCTTTCATTCCATGGATGGGCTGAATGTGATCCTTGAGTGATAGGCTCACCTATTTTCTGGTGAAAGAATAAACGTCTCAGAACCCACAGCGACAAGAGAATATAAAAAAGATCATTGGTATTACGAAGTTGATCAATCTTAAGAATCACAATAAAGCGCTCTTATCAACATACAGTTCATATAAATATGGTCACAATAACCTAGTTAGTTCTTATGCAATAGTATAAGCCAAATGCCTCCTCATTGAGTGAAAGAAAATAATTAACGACCTATGCCCAATGCAAATATGTCCATTACTGAAATTGTCTACCAGTTATACCATGACGATGACATGTAGTAAAATGATGTGTGTCCAATAACCTTCTTCTTCTAGCAAGAAGGAACAATCAACTAAAAGTTGCGCACAAAATAATCATAGCCTCAAAACTAAAAGCTTGTCAGCTTTGCCTACAGAAAATCTAAAGCTTCAACCTTTCTTAAACAAATTATCTCAGTGTGAAACACAGGAGTACAGACATAACAGAATCGATGCCATAGTATTCCCACTGCCTTCTATAGTTTTAGGTTAAGCCACATCTGTTGTCTGCGCCACATGTGAATTAGTTGCAAACTTATTTACCCCAACCCAAAGAAAATGCAGTTCATTCAACCAAAAATTGGGAAATGGGGCAATAAAAATCTAAGCGTCGGGCAATGAATTTCAAGCTACTGTACAAGTATGCATTCTCAATTCCTGGACTAGTTGCAATAAGAATCAAAATACATTCCATAAGAAAAATCCCCCCCTGGTACATAAATCGGACACATATCAAGGAGAATTTTCTCGACAGGAAGCACTATACAGACTCACAACTTTCTCCAGTTCCTGCATTGTTCTCTGGAGTTCAGTCCTTAAACGAGTATTTTCTTCTACCTGAGACGGTAAAGGAAATGAAACCACATTAGATACGTATAATATGCACAATAATGCAGAGAATCCGGCATTAAGAATTAGGGAGAATTCTGCCTTCTATCTTTCGTAATGAGCAACCAACGAACAAAGCACTATAAGCCACAAAACGGTGAGAAAGAGAATCAGAAGAAGAGAAACCCCATTCAAGAAACTCAGACAGATAGCAAAATCTAGTGGCATCAGAGGTGCCCACCTGTTGCTTGATTGTGGCTTCAGCAGCTTCAACTGCTTTCATGACCTGAAACAGGCTATCGTTGCTGTGGTGGTCGTTGTGGCTGTTGGGGACATTCATATTGGATGAAGTTGAAACGGGGGTTTCATTGACGCGAGTATTGAGCCCCAAACCCGTCATTTTGCGAGCTAATTTCCCTTCCTCGTCTTCTTCGTCATGACCGTTCTCCATGAAGAAAAATCGAAACGGCGACCTACACAACAGTCCTCAGTCCTCCACTCCCAGACTGTGAGTACCAACGTGTCGCGTAATTAAGAGAAGGGAAGAAATGGGAAAAGAACGGGTTGGACAAGATCGAAAGGTGGGCAAAGTGAGAAGCAAAACCCTAATCGAAGAATAAAATGAGAAAACTGGACGGGGGAAGAAGAAAATGAGGAGAATGAAATGGTGCGGACAAAGAGAGCCCCTGTCCTGAATCAATCAGAAACCCTAACTTGAATTGAAACGCGAGTATTTGAACAGGGGAGAAAGATTGAAGAATGAAGACTGAGGATTGATCACTCCTGTCCTTCTTCTCCTCTTTCCTGCTTCTTCAAGAACAGTGGGCTTTCGGGCAATCTGTTTCCATGTCTCCGTTTATTATTTTCTTTGTAATTATTATCTGTATTTTTCGCTTTACCTTTTTCTTTCTTTTATTTTGATTAGGTGTGGGCATCGGTTCGATTCGATCAAAATCGAACCAAAGTGATGCATATCGGGTCCCTAATTTTCACGAAATATCAAATCAAATTCAAAGCGAAATATATATGTTTGGTTAGGTCAAACCAAAATTTATGTCGGTTCGATCGAATTTCAACCTCGAACACAAAAAAAAAATTCCCTTCCTTATCAATTGCGGATCTGTGGGCATATCAAAATAATTATTGTCTTCCTCCCCCTCTCTCCCTGTTCATTTTCGTCTCTCCATCTCTCTCTCCTTTCTTCCACTCTACCTACACATACAACACTAAATCGACAGATGAAGGAGCTTAAGAAAGGAAGGGAAGCGGTTGCAGGCCGATCATTGTCTGCATGTTGTTGTTGGCAGCTCGATTGAAGAGGAGGTCGTCGAGGATCCCTCCCAAGATTTGTCTTCGCCACCATCGAAGGAGGGGTAGGTTGAAAATGAGGTTGAGGGTTGGCGGTTGTCGTATAAGATTGTGGGGGAGTGGGATTAGGGTTCTGTTGTTGTTGTTGGGTGGGCTGAGATAGGAGTTTGGGTTGTGTTGTGAGTATATGGGCTGAGATGAGAGACTGGGCTTGGAGTGTGGGCTAAGAGGCTGGGCTAGGTAAGTATTATCGGTTTTTCGATCGGATAATCGGAATTCGGGTTCAGTCGTGCATACTTGGTTTTTGAAATATAGGGTTTTGTCTTCTGAATTCTGAATCGTAGCTTTATTTTACGGTTTTGGTCTGATTTTGTTCAAATTCAGCTCGGTTTAGTTTGAATTTACCAAACTGCATGCTCACCCCTACTTTGGATGAATATTTGTCTTCCCTTCTCCCCTTAACCTAGGGTGCTAAACCGGATTGGACCACTAATCCAGCCAAGGAATCAGGTCACGAGTTGCTTGATTGAAACAAGATCTACTCGCTTGACTCATTTTCTTTCTACTTTTATAGGATTTTTATGCCGTTTAAAAAGAATGTAGGCTTTTGCAGTGATCTAAATTTCAATGACATGATTTGAATTGATTTTGCATGCTAGGAGTGAAACAAGATCAAATTGAATCAGGTTTTTATAGGACCAGGGTCGACCATGATATTCAAGGGTCAATTGTTATATTTGGCTCTACTAAGCTCATTTGGTTGTTGGCATAAAGATCGAGTAGGATTTGGTCGGGATGTATCAACGAGTTACCTGCATTGTTACTGAAAAGAAACTAATGCGGAAAAGAAAGGACACTCGAGTTTACGTGGTTTCCCCGTTCTTGTGAAGAACGAGACTACTCCACGGAAACCTCTATAAGGAGATTTCGGCTTTCTTTATTAATCACTGCTGCCGCTCTCGTCAAGCTACCCAGCAACAAAATAAAGAGCACAAATATATATGCCCTAGCTCCAGCCGTAGGGTTGCTAAAACTAAAACCCAAAACGAAATAGTTTAGGGTAAAATAGAATCACCTCCCCAAACTATAAAAACACTACAAGACTCCCCCTCAAGCTGCGGCGTGAAGATCACGTACGCCCAGCTTGGAAAGTAAAACATGAAACTTATCGGCTCCAAGAGCTTTGGAAAAAATATCCACCAGTTGCTCCGTGGTGTGAACCTTCGTAGGGGCAACATCATGAGAGACCACCCGTTCCCGAACAAAATAACAGTCCATCTCAACGTGTTTCGTGCGCTCGTGGAAAACCGGATTAGCGGAGATATGCAATGCCGCTTGATTATCACAATACAACACCGTGGGACCCGACTGAGAAACCATAAGCTCACGAAGTAGCCAACGAAGCCATAAGACTTCACTCACAGTAGTCGCCATCGCGCGGTATTCAGCTTCAGCCGATGATCGAGCTACCACACTCTGCTTCTTGGTACACCAGGAAATGGGAGCCGCACCTAAGCTAAGAAAATAACTTGTTGTAGAGCGTCGAGTACGCAGGCAACCAGCCCAATCTGCATCGTAATAGGCTGTCAACTCCAGTGACCCAGTAGCGGGAAGGAATAAGCCTTGACCTGGAGCATGTTTTATATATCGCAGCAAACGTTGGGCAGCTGCCAAGTGATCGGCAGTAGGAGCTCCTGTAGACTGACTTAGGATGCTAACAGCATAGACGATGTCGGGGTGAGTAACCGTCAGATACATCAAGCGGCCGACCAAGCGTCGATAGGCTGAGACATCAATTGTGGAATCTAAATCAGGGAGTGGCTTGGTCAATTGATGATTTTGCTCCATGGGAAACCGACAAGTACGTGCCCCAGTCACGCCTGCATCAGAAAGAATGTCCAGAGCATACTTTCGTTGACTGAGTACTATACCCTCCGAGGAACGAGCAACTTCAATCCCAAGAAAATACTTTAACTCCCCCAAATCCTTGATACTGAACTGGGTGTGTAGAAAATTCTTAACTCGGTCAATGAAAGCTCGATCATTGCCAGCTAAGACAATGTCATCGACATAAATCAATGCTGCGACGAAAACAGTCCTAGTGCGATATATGAACAAGGAGTGATCTGCATGAGAATTAACAAATCCCAACTGAAGTAAAGCACCAGTGAATTTGTTGTACCAGTTGCGCGAAGCCTGACGGAGACCATAGAGCGATTTCCGAAGACGACACACTCGGGTATCACCTGGTTTACCAAAACCGGGGGGAAGCTTCATGTAAACTTCCTCGTCGAGATCGCCATGCAAAAATGCATTGTTAACGTCCAGTTGCTCCAAAATCCAACCACGATGCGCTGCAACTGCGAGAAGGCATCGGACGGTGACTAACTTTGCTACCGGGGCAAAAGTATCATGAAAATCGATCCCTTCCTGTTGAGTAAAACCTTGAGCAACCAGACGTGCCTTAAACCGTTCAATGGTGCCATCGGGGTTATACTTAATTTTATAACCCCATTTTGAACCAATAGCATGCATTCCGTCCGGTAGATAAACCAATTCCCACGTGCCGTTGGCAACGAGGGCATCAAATTCTCGCTGCATGGCAGCTCGCCAATGCTCATCCCGTATAGCTTCATGGAAGAACCGAGGCTCAAAATCTCTAGTAATAACGGCCAAGAAAGCATAATGAGTGGGATGGAAACGATGATATGTGACTTGTGCTGACATAGGGTAGCGAACCTGAGAACTCATGGAAGGAGGCAAATCTACATCATAGCCGGCGAGATGAGATGAAGGCTTCCGTATACGATCACTGCGTCAGACTGGAGGAGGGGATGGAGAGGAATGAGGACGCCGGAAGATCTTGTCGGGTCATATTGATCCGCGGCGGGGCTACTAGGTGGAGAAGAACCACCCATATTTGAGGAAGACACCTCATGCATTAAAGTGTCACCTGCACCATTTCCATTATCATGCACGTCATCATCATTAGCATATACCTGCTGCATGCGATGCATGGGCACACGAGGAGAAGGAGGTGTAACAGGAGCATAGGGATAAACATTCTCAACAAAAATCACATCTCTCGAAGTGTAAATTCTTCGGCTTTGCATGTCATAAAATCGATAACCTTTCTGTTGAGCTGGATATCCAACGAACACACACGACCGACCCCTCTCCAAAAATTTATCGAGTCCGTGGTGAGTGTCTTTAGCATACTCCAAACAACCAAATACGCGGAGATCATCCAGGGATGGGGGACGCTGTAATAGTACCTCGTAGGGAGTTCGATTATCAATAGCCTTAACGGGTCGACGATTCAGCAAATAAGTTGCTGTCAACACGCATTCCCCCCAAAACCGTACGGGCAAATGAGCTTGGAATCGTAAAGCACGAGCTGTCTCCAAAAGAGAACGATGCTTACGTTCAACCACACCGTTTTGTTGAGGAGTATCAGTGCATGAGGTCTGTAAAATAATCTCATTACTTTCATAATAATCCAGCATAGGAGCAGACTGAAATTCGGCCCCATTATCTGCCTGAATACGTCAAACCTGACTCTTAAACTGAGTTTTTGCCTGTTCACAGAAAGCACGAATATAGCGGCCTGCATCGGACTTAAACTTCAGCAGATATACCCAAGTAGCTCTACTGAAATCATCAACTACTGTCAAGAAAAAACGTGAACCATCCATCGCAGGAGTATTATATCCACCCCACAAATCCATATGCACCAATTCAAAACAACACTTTGTCTTAATATAACTGCGGGGAAAAGGCAATCTAGTCTGTTTAGCCTTTAGACAAGAATCACAAGGAAAAACCATATCTTGTGAACCCTCAACATCAATCAAATGCTTCAACTGATCAAACTTCCCTCTCGACGGGTGGCCGAGCCTGGCATGCCATAGAATGGAGCTCTCGTGTCTCCGAACCGCTGCGTTCACCCTCGTGTCTCCACCTGCGAGTCTCCTCAGAAAATACAGCCCCTCACGTTGCTGGCCGACCCCAATCGGCTTCTTCGAGACTAAGTCCTGAATGACGCATACATCAGCCAGAAAAATCACAGTAACATTATGTTCCTTCGTCAAACGGCTTACTGAAAGTAAATTGCACTTAAACTCCGGAACATATAAGACATTATGCAGATCGATCCCTTTCAACAAGGTTGCCGAACCAATGCCTCTAACGGGAATACTGGATCCATCCGGTATTTTGACAGGGCCGTTACTATTTGTAAACTTAACTTCAGTTAACAAGCTGGCATCATGAACTATGTGTTCATTTCATCCACTATCGAGCAACCACTCATGAAGATCAAGAACATTACCTGCCATGTTCGCCATGGGGTCTATTTTGTCATCAGGATCAACAGTGAGCAGGTGCTTAAGTTGGTTGTACTGCGACGCTGTGAGTCCCGGCACTGGAATTTCCACCACTTCAACAGCTGCTGCCCGAGATTGCCCCCCGTAGCCCTTGCGATGGCCTCCCCCATCCTTCTGTATAGGATCTTTATCACGTCGAGGAGGATAGCCTATCAACTTGTA